CTGTGCCACCATGTGAAAAAGAGATGGACCAATTTCCAGAACCACCTTGCTTCCTTTTCCTTGCCTTCCAGGCACTGGGGGCATGAGTTCTTGAATCTCCAAGCTTTGCTCGTTGGAGCCGTAGATCACTCCCATGTCCTCACGGGGAGTCTCGGGAGTCACGGAGAGAGACCATCCGACGTCTCGGTGCCACTGAAGAATCACTGTTACAAGAGTCCCTGAGAGGGAGGCTCAAGGCAAAACGATTCAGCATGTGAGTGTTTTCACCTGATCCAGACCATCCTGCGAAACACGTATCTCAAGACTAGAAACGGAAACTACTAATTACATGTTTTTGTTGGCTTCCGGTCCCAGTGATATCCTGAGCTCTGGTTGTGTTGGGCCTCCGTTTTTGCGCTGCACTAGTCAGTTCTCATACAACGCCAGTAACGGAATTCCCACACCATGAAGAACTTACAATTGACGGCATCTTCTTGGCGCGAGTGCCGGGCGTCACGTGCATTTTTGATGAGTTTAGAGTGGCACCAGAGTTTCCCCACAGGCGCGTTCTGGGCTCGTGGACTATGGGCACCACATTCTGGTAACAATCCAGTTGAGACCACAAAGCACATCTGTAGAGTCAAATCTCCAGGATGATTGGACGGGTTGCTTCTGAAAACAGTCCACATAACTTCATATATAACTTGTATTATTGATTATGATACACTCAAATTTGAGAGATGGTTGACAGCTGGCGTGAACTCAACCCCCATTCAACAACATCACAAGGTACACTCTGAAGGCAAAGAAACGGTGTTCTTTCTCAAATTCCAAGCTGAGAAGCTTGAGGCAAGGTCAGCTTCACCTCAGCCAGGTCTCGGTGATTGAGAATTTACTCGTCTTGATTGCCGTAGAAAGAAATCCACCGTTGGGATGAACCACTTCTGTTGATGAGTAAGTCAAGCGCGCTTCCTCTATGTCAGAGCAAACGTGACAAAGGCTTCAGGTGGTGGATCAACAAACTTTCACTGTTCAACAAATCCAGACTGTATATTGACTTATACTACAAATCAGTCTGGATCTTTCCAAGGTCCCTACTTCGCCTGGGTGCTCGCACTTGCAACTTGTTTGGAATTGATCACCCGCAATGTCCCCTTCAACAACAACCTCAGGTTTGTAGAGTCAATAACGGGGCTGTGCATGGTGCATCAGGCTTTCTACTGCTCGCCTTTCTACTGCTCTTAGTTGTCCGGTCTATGTCAATCAACATTGAATTCAGCCGTGTCCAGTAATCTGTACACAATGTGGATGCGCACAAACCGCTGACCGCACAGGCGTGACAAATCCTCATACCAGGATTCTGCTGTGTGCTGGATGTGTCAGAGAAACAAATACTACTGTATATATATATATACATATATATAGAGATACTTATATATATAAGTAGATTTCATTGTAATCGAGGTTTGTTTCATTATAATCGAGGTTTGCCTCTTGTGATATCTTGAGATGATCTCTTGCAATGTTTCATGATAAAAGCTTTCATGAACACCCAGCGATCCTGCTCCACCTGACCCCCCTTCCATCCTTTTCACACACACTTGTGGAAATCAGCTCCTTGCTGAATGCTCCAGTAGGTCGATGGTAAATCTGATCAATCTTATTTAGATTGACGAACCCCCTCAAGCCATTCTGGTGGAAGAAGCTCACTTAGCATGTTTTTGTGTTAGCTGACAGGTTATATATTATCTCGCGCTCTTTAGCTCTCTACCCTGCAGACACTGGCTGTAGATCAGCACTTTATGTTTCTTTCCTACTGCTAAAAGGTCACCACTGGCTTGACTTTCAAAATCGAAATCGCTCAGGCAGCTAGCCACATGAGGCCACTTTCAATGGCACTCTACACAAGCCTGACTACCTGTTCAGCCACCATCTTCAAAGGCGATCGAGGAAAATATAGAGGTTTACCTCAGAAAGGGCCCAGCATGTGTTGGAACACAATGTTCATTAAGTGTGTCCTTTGTTGCACAGTGCCACTAGCTGCTAGCTTGCATGCGACATGGCTTGCCAAGCCACGAGGTGCGAGCTCCTGAGAGTGTGACACAGGGTGTCTTCTTGGAGTGGGGCTGATGCATAATTCAACCAAATACTTACTACTAGTCCTGGTCAGCCTTCACATAAGCCACTCTCCAATGGCGAGTCAATATTGGGCTTGCGTCCAACACCTGAAAGAGGGAAGGATTCAGCGATGGGTTCATGTTTTTCTGTTTTTCTGGTTCACTCAAAAATCAACAACAGTTCAGCAATGTTCATCCACAAACACGACATAGCACCTCACGAATGAAGCTGCTAGCAACAGTTGTGGCTTTGAAGGTAGAAACTCCGGTGTAGGCGAACAGAGGCGTGGTAGCGTTCGGCTTCACAATGAAGTAGTCTTCTTTCAGGGGTGGGTCTGACATAATGATTGAACATAAGCTAATTGCATTCTGCAGTGTACCTTTCGGTTGACACGATTGGGGACGGAAGAAACATCAAACAGCAGAACCACTCCTTTACCATCAGCTTGTGTCCCAGGCCGTTCGACGCTATGACCCATCAGGGATGTGTCAACAATTCCTTCTTCTTCCATCTCCTGTAACAATTTCCTCATGGTGCACAGTTCGCTGTCGCTGGTGGCTTTGGAGGATTCACTCTGAACCTCCAAAATGAAAAGCATAGTGTCAGTGTTGAACTTGAAGGGAACTACGTTCTCCAAGGGGTCACCTGGCATGAAATGCTTTTGTAGCAATACCATAATCAAAACTGACATCCATAGTGATGCTCATGATTGTGTAAGGAGGCCTCTCTATTTTCCCAGATCTGAAGGAGTTCTGTGGAGCAAAGTCCCACTCACTACTGCTACGTTGAACTCAGTAGCCCTAATCCCCATAGTGTAATTGGTCCTTACACCTGCCAAGCAAAAACGGCTTTGAGACAATGTGATAAACTCTTAGCTGTCATATTTATATACACACTCATGTTCAGTCAGTACAACTTCATTAGCAGGTGTTTTATGGACACTTGGTGAAGCCAACACAAAATCATGACGAGACCGTTTCAGGCCCAGATGATCTACGATCTACTAATCCTCGACCTCGTCACTCTCATTGGTCAGAGGCTCAGTCTCATTGCCCTTCGCAGGCTGATCCCTACTGCGCTTAGCCTTGGCCGTCTTCCTAGTATACGCCCCCTCAGAATTCAGCGCCCGCTTGCTCCGTTGATCAGGGGTCATATTCTTGATGCAATTGAGGCGTTCCGGATGGTCCATCCACCTGGGATCAAAATAATAGAGGATGAGGAACTGATTTGCTGTTGGCTATGAGGGTTCCAACCGATATAGAATCTGAGTTATTGTTTTATCTGAGTTATTGTTTAGTGATTTGTCTGAGCCACGCATTCCTGGCCATCTTCAAAATCTCCTTGGCACTCATATCTGGATGCTGCCGCTTCAGCTCACGCTGTTTCTGGTGGACAACCTGCCAGTACTTCTCACGCATGTTCTCGGCGGATGTTGGCGTTTGCTCCGGTTCCTTGGAGGTGCCGGTGCTACCTCGAGGAGTCTTCTTTTGTCGAGGAGACTCACCCAAACGCAAGGTAGAAGCAGTCGATTCATGCTCGCTTTCGGCGTCCTCCTGCGAGTCGAACTCTTCCTCTGAATCCAATGGATTCTCCTGGAAAGAACGGGGAAGGAATGAGAGGAGGGACTAGAGGAGGGTTGTAGTGTGATTGGTTTGTGTTTCTAGGTCTCCTCATCGTCCTGGTCCTTCTTGTTTTGTTTGGCTTTTGCCTTGGCCTTTGCCTCCAAGATTAAACAATGACTTTTAATGCAGCACATTGGTTCTTACCCCAAAAATCAATGGAGAGTGAAGAAGGGATAGGGACATTCTGTTGTTGTTCATGCATTGACTTTTTCAGCTCTGAGAACGAATGAAACGAATACTGGCCTTCGCCCCAGCTTTTGCCTTTGGTTTCCTTGTAGCCTTAGCTTTTGGTTTCCTTTCAGCCTTCGGTTTTGGAGCTGCCTTCTTGGCTTTCGGTTCCTTCGGTCCCTTGCCCCCTCCACTCGTTCCTGCCACAGCGATTGATGCTTTCACTGCCTGCGCTGCCTGTTTGGCAGCTGAAACTTTTTCACCAGCTGGTCTACCTCGTTTCTTTCCCTTCTCACCATTTACATGGGCATTTCCCTCAGCAATCTTTGACTGCAGATTAGAAACTGCCTCTGGTGTCAAGACCTTATGCGCAGACTTCCCTGAGCTGGTACTCGAAGTCAGTTGCACGACGCTTGACTGTTGAGCAGCCGCTGATGGCTTCCCAGTCTTCTGAGACACTGGCGTAGGAGGAAGTTTGGGCGTCTTGTTTTGCACCTAAGAGAAGCGCCCCGGACAAATTGAAGTCGAACTGGAGTGCTACATATTAAGACCCAGACAATCGCAGACGCAGGCGTGACACAAGCTTCAGGGCTACGGTCCAACATTGTGTTGAGGTCCTGAAACCAAAACCATTGTTTTGCAATAGACGACATAGTGAAACAACACATTCCAGGCTTCATTCCATACATCAACAGACTTACTCAACCCGGCCTGTTTGAAACCATGTAACGCCAACACTTGACTCAAGGCGCCACCATCGGACATTGCTAGGTGTCAATGGGCAAAGCCGGAGGAGCAACCTGTGGATTTATGCAAAAAAGGGGCTGAGGAGGAAAGCTATGAAACTCACAGGCATGTCTTGAAGACATCGGAGCACAGTGCATTCCCTGGTGGAAAACATGGCAGCCCACCTGTTCCAGTATACTCTCTGGTGATTCTGGCAGCCTTCTCAGGCGCCATCCAAGTCGATTTCCCATGCGCTAGCAGCCACTCTGTCTCAGGAATCTCAATCTCTGAATGAGCAGCCTGGGAATGGCATATAGTCTGACAAGTGGTTGCTTTGCGTTGACATCTATGACATCTTGCGGATTAGTGGTTGACCTTTGATTTCAGCTAAAGAAAATTTAGTGAATCCACCAACCAAAGAACCATGAAGAGCTTCCATTTTTGATTGGGTAGAGCTTGTTCCCTGTGTCCCCCACGGTCTTCTGCCAAGGTCAAATACAGGGTTGTTCCTGGGATCTTCCCAGGAAACTTGCTTTCCACTAGGTACTTGTCAAGCAGGGCGGGGATGGTCTCTGGCTCCGAGGTCCACATGGCAGGAGCAGGGCTCTTCTCATCTTCTGCAGGCACGATCTTGCTATCATCCTCGGGGACGATGCCACTGCCACAAAACCTGAGTGGGAATCCATGTTAATATAATATTTTGTTGGATATATACTGGAAGGGTGGCTTTAGGTTATTATGCTTTTGGTCTTTTGCGAAAATGAACTTGTGGCACCACTGTTGGAAAAAAAACTCGTTCAACATGATTGAATTCAAATGCGAATGACTTGGAGTCAAAGTCAAGGATAAGTTCTTTCCACTTTGGAGCATTGACAGGATCCCCCAAATGTTTTGCCCTGATCTCGTTGGTCAAGTGGATCTTGTAGGCACTCCACCCCTTCTTCGAAGCATCGATTGAAATGCTTGCCATCTTCAATGGAAACTTTTCAAGGTCAACAGACTCGGCCGGAGGAGGTGAAGGGTCGTAGCGACGCGTGTGTGGCGGAAGAACCTTGCCCCCTTTCTTCCAATCCTGGCAAATTTGAAGCTGGCCAAGAATACATTCATAGAAAAGGTTCCATTCAGTGGTGTTTGAATTCATTCATGGCTGAGCTAACTCCTGAGACTCCATGCTATCATATTATCAAATATAATATCTATCGCCGTTATTCAGCCTTGCAAAGGAGACTTGTTTGGACACTTGACAAGTGGTCCTTGCTGGTTGGGAGAATTCTAGAGCGAAAACAACTCCTACATGTGGTAGCAACATCGTGGCCTGGCCTCCATCAACGCCAGCGCAACCGTTTTCTCTGTGTGACCTACCACGGTCATATCGGTAGAGAGCGACAAGGAACGAATCCTCCGGTCTGGGTTGTCCATATGCCACTTCAATGCCACGAGCTCTACGCAGGCATCATAGGGACTCAGGTTCAGAACAGCGATCTTCTCTCCAACTTTCGGAGACTCTGCCAGGAGCGCTTCGATGACAGCCATTGGAAGGGCATCACCGGTCAGCAGCTGAGCACTCTCTTGCAGTTCGCTCAAGGCCCTGACAACGTTGAGCAAAGTTTCAAGCATGGCAGGGCGATCCAGGGAGACATTAGATTTTAGCTTCAAAACATGAAAACAAACCACAATATGAAATGGTCCATATGGAAGAAACATGAATGTTTGGCTGCAAGCCTGTTACCCTCTGCAGCAGAAGGAAGAGCATCCTTTGCGCTGGGAACCACGTACTGTGATTCTGGTGTCCATGGAAGCAACGGTCTTGTTGACCTGCTCATGCATGGAAATTAATGAAGAGGGATGTTGGGTAGCCTTTTGAAGACCAATAATACCTAGGGTCTAGCGTGGTCACTGATACTTTGTGTCCTAGAGACAGGGCCTTGCGAAAATCCATTATATAAGACCTATAGCATGACGATTTCGTGTTTATTTCGGTCCACCTCGCCTGTCCTGCAACAATTGGCAGCGGGCCCACACATTGTTCTCCATGGTTCCATGGTGGAATAGCAGCCACGCAGGAAAAACCAATGGTACCTTCTTGTTTGCTGGTGCATTCTCGCACCGCAAAAAGACCGCCTCAAACTTCAAAGACTTGGCCTCGAGTTTGTCTTCGATTCTCCTGCAGGGTTGATTGTTTCAATGTGCTTTGGGGTTTGTGGTTGTAGAATGTTTCAATACTTTGTGAATGTTGCGTGTTCGAATAGTTTTAGTCATGTTGAATGCTCAAGTATTCTGAGGGCTCTCATAGACACAGCTTGATGATATGACTGACTATAAATTGGCCAATCCAAGCCCTCTCCTGAGCTCTGCATTGAGGCCGCTTCGTCTCTCTGAGACAAGGTTTGGGGCCACAGCGAAGCCCACTGATTTTTCAGGCATGGACGTCAGGGCTTGGGACAACATGGCAACGACGTTGTTCAGGTCTATGTTCGTAGTCCGTCCAAACTTCATGAAGTCCAGCCATACGATCAGAGGTGAGTCATCAGCGCACAGCTTGGAGGTGTACTCAGGGTTGTCACTTGTTCATGGACTGGAACTCAGGTTCTACCCATGTCTTCAATACAAGCCCACATAAATACATCCCCTCAAAACGACTCATTGAATTCAAACCAACCCCTTAGAACAACCCATTGACAACAGTGGAAAGGAAGATTCAGGTCCTTTGCGATCTCATCCTTCAAGTCAGACAAAGGCCCAGCCACATGCTTTGACTTCTCTGCCATGTAGGTTGAAATACATGATGCTCCGATTGAATTCTGCTCCTTCAGGTGGGCGACTTTGGCCAAGCGGTTGGCTCGTTCACCTTGCTGTTGTTGACGGTAGAGGCTCGCCAACTGGGAAGCATCACGGGCAAGGGCAAGGGAGTCAGCCTCAAAAAGCAGTTTGTTGTGGTCCTTCTGCATTTTCTCAATCTCACCATCAGCCTTGGCAAGCTGACCCTCGACAACATCCATCTTCTGACATTGTGGAAGGTTTTCCCTCCAGCAAGCCATCGACTCAATCTTGAAATTTGGATCCATCAAGGAAATAGTGCCTTTGAGCTCATCGTGGAAATCCCTTGGCTGGGAGAAATGCCAATTCCCAAGCTCTGAATCCAAAGCTTCAAAGTAATTCAATGTTATTGCAAGGGGTAATGGAAAACAAACGACAGGTCAAACGCTTGAAGGGAATTATTGAATTACCTGACCAAGACTTTGAAGGCCAATCTCATCACTGACTGGAATACCTCGGGTTACCTCGGGGCAATCAGATGTTTATCCTAGTTTCCCTTCGATGTAGTGGTTGATGATCTCCTTGATCTTCTCCGTTGAAAAGCACAAAGCGTTGCTTGGGTCACGGAACTTCCTCATCTCCTCGATGGTAGCTCCCATCAAACAAGCAATGTCGCATTCATGATCCCAAGCCTCTTGAGACAGTCGTAGAAGTTGAGCTTTGCCAGCCTTCCGCTTGGTGAGCTCGAAGACAAACAGAATCCGTTGCAGGAAGATGTGCTGCTTGAAATTGTTGGTGACCAAGAGGTCGTGCCACACACCTTCTCCAAGCTTGTTGCACCCGTCCAGGAGCCAACGGCTGTTGAGAAGCATTTCCCGCGAGAAGGCTGCGCAGGGGTGATGGGACATGAGACAAAAGTGTGGGAAAGGACGCGGTAACAGGCCATGAGGTAGTGATTTATTCATATTTATTTGACATTCCTACTATAATGGAACCCATCATAGAACATCACAGAAGTCAGGGCAAGAAACAAAACTTATCCTAGAAGCCCCAGTGCAAAACACAAAACTTCTAACTCTTTAGTAACTTTAGTAAGCCTTGCCTGATTGCTCCCACCGATTCACATGGAGATGTTGCTGGATCAGTTTCCATACTTCTGGGCACACACCAACCTGCCCAAAGGGTTGCGATTTGAGAAAGTATTGTGCGATGATTGGGGGCTTGAAGGCTTCAAGTACCATATTTGCCCCAAACTGATATTGAAGCCAAGTACCATATTCATACCAAAGCATCCTGATACTGAAACCCTCTAATTTCAATCCCACACTGAAGCCAAGCCCTTGTCAATGCGATGCTTGCCCGTCGTACCAGCCAATCCAAAGTTGTTGTACTCATCCACAGCGATCAAGAAGCAAGCTTTGTAGTCCACATCAGGAGTGGCCTAGTCCAACACCCTTTTTGAGAATTAGTTCCAAGAAGTATTTTGTTTAGAGTCTTGCTGTATTATTTACAACCAGTTCTATCCATCCATCCCCCCCAATCTCCTGGTGAATCGCGTTCGCACGTTGATGGAACAAGAGGGTCATCTGAATGACAGACTTCTTCTGCTTTTCAGCTTGCTGCTGAGAATTTTGGATACGCCTCCAAACATAGTCCTGCTCGTTGTCCTGCTTGATGAAGACACAGGAGATCTCTGCAGCAGTCTTCAGCCACCTTCCGGTTCAAAGCTTGGGTAGTAGGAAGAAATATATTTGGTTTTAACAAGTGAACACCTTCGATTTCCACTAGAGTAGTGCCAAAGTATTGCATTGAATACTACGTGAAATTCTCAGGATAAAGATCGCGGATCATTTTTTCACCTGGTTCAAGATAGATACATGGGAGTATAACTTCCTCACCTTTGAGATTTTCAACATAGCCAAGTTCCAAAGGCGAGGCTGGTGGTGCCAGCCTCACCTCTCCTATGGGATCCTTATGTAAGCCATATTAATGTTTAGCTTTCTTCTGGTAGGCCCTTATAAATTTCAAAATGAGCGAGGCGAGGCTGAGCACCGGAGCCTCACCTTTGTGGGGGGGACATGGTATGACTCCTACCTCAACCTACGCTGGACCATGCTGGACCCCTTGACTGGTTGTACCACAGAGGCGAGGCTGGCACTGCCAGCCTCACCTTTGGAACTTGGCTATGTTGGAAATCTCAAAGGCGACCCTTTTATATAGAATTTTCTAAAAGTCCTCACTTGTCATCTTCGTTGCTCTTCCCTGGATTCTCTCCGGAGGGGGGGCCTCGTGAAATCTTCAGATTCCTCTTCAGTCATGTGCGAGGAGTAGTGCTTGTAGGTATATGCCACTGTGAAGAGCAAAATTGCAAGCCTTCCCACACCTTTGCAAGCCTCTACGAAGCCAAACTCCATTTGAGCTCCCAAGGAGTCACTCCGAAGTGGTTTCAATTCCACTGGCTCCCGCCAGGCTTCATAGCCAAGAGTCCAGATGCTCATAGCATGGGACACCCAGTCCTCGTAGACCGGGAGGCCATCTGGCGGTGTCTTGTAGGCAAAACAGAGCAGTGGAATCGCAAAGGGTGTAGTGACTGGAGTGTCCTGAGTGGTTTGTTCCTTTTGTTTAAGAACAGCTATCAATGGAAAGACACAACAGTGTCTGAAGAAACAAAGTATCTTGGACACTGCCTCAAAGAAAAAGAAAGGGGGCCACAGCAAAGACATGTTTCTGGCATACGGACATCTTGCGGTTGTCGAATTGTTCCTTGAAGTTTCTCAGACATCCACGATTGCAAGAGGGGATACTCTGCACTGGTCATGTGTTCCAGCAACCAGGTGACTGGATGTTCATCGCGCATCGGATCGAAGTTCCTCAGATACATCCTAGCCGCAAACGATGTATTGTTGGGAATACTGTCTAAATCTATCTAAATCTAGCAAATTGTACTAAGTATCTTCGCAGCCAAAGCCATTTTGTTTACCCATGGCCCCAGGCTGAGCTTCGCAGCCTTTCCAGATGGCGGCGTACTCTTTGCAGCACGCTTACCCATCCTTCCAGACACACCAAAACGCTACAAACAGGCTGCGCTGGCAGGTGTGTGTAACGTAAGAGGTTCCACACTGAGACATGACTGAATGCTCCATCAGACTTGCTGCATGAGAAGAATGATTTGAAATTGGTAAATTCTTTTCACCATCCATTGAGTTCCTGCAACTCATGGTGATGATGCGAACCTATCGAATTGCAGTTTGCATCGAATTGATCCTTCGAACGAAAACAGTAGCCAGCTTCAACACCTCTCGAGGCCAAGGGCTGCTGCCAAAATGAAGCTTCCAATGCAAGGCAAGTTCATGCCGTTGCCAGCCATACGAACTGCGTTTGTTTGACAAACGTCTTGTACGTCGAGCAGTGGACTGCCCGAAGCACGTGCTTGGGCTTTAGTGGTTGGCAAGCAATGGGTCACAAACAGCTCACTCACAGATAGGAATCGCCTGTGCACCTAGCAAGACAGAATGTGAAAATAAGTCAACCTCAGTAGTATTTCTTGATGTCGCCAGTATGCCCTAAGTATCAGACCTTACTGTAGATCTTACCAGAGCTCGTCGTGAGGGTGGGCAAATGATGCTGTGGAGAGTCACACCTACCTCGTCCTGTTCGGACCAGTTGGGTCAAATCCACACACTTGCAACCCTGCTTGAACTGCGTCGCATCCAGGTAGTCTTCGAGATTGCTCTCCTGAGATGCCAGAAGGCCAAGCACCGAGAAGTGTTGGAGGGAGGGGCAGGAAGCGCTTGTTTGGCCTGGTGGGCGTTTGGGTCATAAAGAAAGCTTGTCAAAAATGCGTTCATCAGCTAAATGTCTTCTGAGTCTGTGAGTCTTGAAGGTTGGATGTCCAAGTACCAGTAGTCCATGGCAAACATGCGAGGCCTGGCCTTTAAGGCATCCAAGATCATCTCAAACGGAAAGGAGGTGTTCCACCTGTATTCCCCCCTCCGCCATGCGATCCCATAGAATCTTGGACGCGCGCATCCCATGCCGTACACACGTGGGTCGATCTTTTGACAAACACACTCATAGGAATCTCCCAACTCTTCGCGTACAATCTCCTTCAGATTGTATTCAGGCACATTCTCTAGCAACAGAATATCAGCCTGAGAGGCTACCTCCTGGTAAAAATGCCGGTGACATTGAAACACAGGGTCTGACTTCTTTCTGCCCAGGCCCATCTTGGAGTAGGAAGTGCACGGTGGTCCTGCAGATGCGATTGGGGCAAGGTCTATTGATAAGCTGGAAAGAAACTGTTTGTCATACTATCTGTAGTAGGTGATTTGATTGAGAGATCCACTCCTGCCAGGACCACCCAAGATCCTCAGCAGTTTTGGGTTGTGAACCTGAACCCTGCATGACACGCATGAAGAAAGCTGCCATCAACCCTATTTCAAGCTAGCTTCTGTTGTTTCTCTCCTTCTTGAGTTTACACATCTTTTGGTGTGTAGTGCAGTAGAGCGAACCACAATTCTTGTGCATGTCCATGACGTTTCCGAAGCAGCAAACATTGTAGGTTCGTGCCAGCACGCCTTGGCATGCTGGATCATTCTCACATGCCCACATGACATGAACATTGCCCTTGGAGGGCATGCCCTGCAAACGCATCTCCTTTCCCACCATGTGCTCAATGCTCAGCAAAGCCTCACCGAAGCAAGTTTGGGGGGTATGTCGATGTATTCAGACTCAGTATAAACAACGCCAATTGATATAAAGTATGTCGATGAGTGCTGAAAAAAGCGAACTAGGCAAGCGAGTTACACTCTCAGCACAGCCGACGCCAGAGAAGACGGTGCTGGCATTCCACTTCCATGATGCCAATTTGGAAAGGGTTGC